GTTAATATACTGCATCTGTGCCAGCGCCTGATGTAATAAAACTGCAGCTCGTTAATAAACTTTTTTTTATTTTAATAAATTTTAGACAATCCGCCTTCATTTAGCAAGTGCACTCGCGCATAAACAATTTTCAAGTTCAACACTTTTTGTTCCGTTCAGTTGTGGATGCTACTGATTCAATTCACCGAGACCGCCGTGGCTCCGCAAAGAGACATGCGTGTGTGTGTTTTTTCCTTTGAAAAAGTTTCCCCAGACATACTTAGCTATTTACTGCATTTTTCCTTACGAAATTGTATTATCAGCATAACAATTCGAGTAAATGTGTAAAAGGTATGGCATGAATTTGCCGTCCTTCTAGAACAATGTGCATTTATGTTAAAATTGTAACATAAATTATCAAGTTTAGTTATTCTTATTTCTTTATTGCAAAACGCTAAAACTGGCACCGTTTTGGAGAGAAATGGGCTTTCATTATCATTATGTGTGATGCTGAACTATGAGTTTCTAATGGTGTTTGTATTTGCACTGTTCTAAACATTAATATTTTATGTGCAACAACAGCATATGCTGTCTCAGTGGCCTTACACATGATTTTAAATCTATTTTTTCAAACTTTATGACTTAAATGGAGATGATTGTACTGAGAATAACTTTCATCTTTTCTTCAACTGAATACTGTTTCTGTGCTGTTTTAATGTATTTTAAAGAGTTGGCAGTCAAAATTTAAACTGCTGGATGATAGATACTCTTCATTCTTTATGACAAATAAGATAATGTGAATTACAGAATGTACAATGTTTTTAAAATGTATAAATTGCGGTGTACAGCGTTTATTATGAGGGGGTAGAATCCACAGCTCAGTACTCACTACTCAATACTCATGAGTACTTTTAAATAGGCTACTCTTTTACTCTTACTCAAGTAGTTTTTTGGACAAGTACTTTTACTCTACTCACACTACATTTTTTGGAAGGTAATGGTACTTTTACTTGAGTATATTTTTTCAGTACTCTTTCCACCACTGGTAACTTGGGATCATGGGATCACGTCTTTTTACCGAAAATAGTGTGGGTTGGACTTTTTTCTGATCACATATGCAAAGATTGTGACAGATAGCAGCTGAACTTGCCCACTAGTGTGTGTACGTGAGTGTTTGTTTGTGACAGCCTCACCTCATTCTTGAGTTCAGCGATCTGCTCTCTCAGTTGAGTTATATACTGTCTGGAGTCTGAGTGATTCAGCTGGCCTTGGATCAATCCCTCCTCTTTCTGCAGGCAATACATACACTTATATTTAATTATACTGATATAGTGGTTGGCAGAACTTTTATGAAGTTTTCTAAACATGTTAAACAGACACTGATAATGTCGCCTGTATTTCTCACCTGTATTTCTAGCTCGGCTATCTTTTGCCGGAGTTCAGCCATAGAGGCCATGCTGTCAGCTTCTCTTAGACGGACTGCCATCACCTCTTCTTTGCTCTGAAAGAAAGGTAGCAAAATTACTTTTAGAATTCAAAAGTATTTCTAAAAAAATTCAACATTCTAATTCATGCATTAATCTATAAACCCAAATTCGGTTGTAGTCTTACTATGTCTTTTAATTAGGGATGCACTGATATTAAAATTCTGCCTAATACCGATAAGGTGATAATTATTTGTCTATGTCCGATGTCTGATGAAAGATAAATGGCATATATTAAACATTTTACACTATTTTGTCTAAATAAACTAAATGTAAAGCATGAAAAACTAAGGTCAATCATTTTAAATGCTACAAATGAATTTAGGCATCACAGCAATATAAAGTACAGTATGAAAACATGGATGTTTATTTTTTAATGTATGGGATTTTCTTATTAAATTGAAAATCCACACTGAAAAAAAAAATGAAACAGTATTTTCCTGTAATGTCTCATGTTAGCCAATAACCGATATGGTATTGATACAGTATATGACACATCCCATTTACTGTTTATCTCACTGAATATTCAGTTATCTGTTCTTCCTGTATTGTATGACTGTGAATGCACTGCACCTTGCAGTCAGACTCGGCCATCTTTCTTTTCATTTCGTTGAGTTGGCTTTGTAGTGTTTTGTTGTGGGAAAGAGCATTCTGCAGTCTCTCCTGCAGGCCAGCGCTCTCTTGCTCATGTCTGATAACTAGTTTACAGTTGATCTGGTTCTGTGGAAACGGAGAGAAACATGTGAGAAGGTGAAGTTGTTTGGTTGCCAAACTTTATCTTACATTTTGAGGAAAACAACAAACAAACTTAAGGGCAAACTTACTAATGCATCATGATTTATGCGTCAAAATATTAGGGGTGCGAATCGTCACTGGTTTCACGATTCGATTGCGATTATCATGCCAACGATTCAATTCAATTCGATATCACGTTGCATCACGATTCGTCACATCCTCAATTTTCAATATTAAGGCACATGGCCACATTTTCATATTCATTTTATACCAATTTTTATTTTTTTTGCATTTATATTAAATTATATAAGCAGGCTAATTTTTAAAACAATTACAAATTATTAATAAATCAAAACAATTGTTAAGAATTTAACCAACTAAATATAGCTTCAAAACATACAAGCAAATATAAAGTAATAAAGGGGGAAAAAGACCATTTTAAGTGATAAACAAAAAGTACTTTCAGTCTCTGATAGGGATGTTCATTTTAACCGTTAACCGACCGTGAAGAATTTTGACCGATTAATTCAATCAGTTAACCGGTTTAAAAGGTTTTTTTTTTTTTTAAATCAAAATATTTAAAAAGGTTTGCTGTATGTTTGAAATACGCTCCGCGTATTTAAAAATTGCTTTTTTTTTTTAGA